TTTTTATAAGTTTTTAATTTTCATGTCTAGCTTAATTAATCAAATCCAACCCCCTCCCCCCTTTCTTTCGTATTTATTTTATTTGTTCGTTCTTGTACTAGAATTTAGTGGCTACAACAAGTTAAAACTGAGTCTCTGTGGATACGACCCGACTTACCGCTATTACATTTTTTGTTGTAATTAGCCAATAGTTGGAATTTTTTTATTTGGTGGACTCGACATCCGTCAATATTAATAGAATTTGAATAAATAAGAGTTATGGTTCTGATTACAGTTTTATCGATGAAAAAATTGTATGACAGTTTAAAATCCAATATATTTAAAATCCAACATATTTAAACGACTCCACAAATGTGTTCGATTTACACCAAGAGCAAAGAATCAAGAGAGCGAGACCGAGAATTCTAGAGCAATTAAATGAGAGATGAATGAGAGAACTTTTAATAACTCATGATAATATCAATTTGAATCTCACCTTGGGGGATGAGGAGAAGACATAGAGGTATGAGAAGGTGAAGACATGAGTGAAAGGTGTCAAAAGTATCTTGGGAATATGAAAAGAAAAGGTAATAATGTGCATTGGTAACTTGTACTATGTGTTATTTTTATGTAGATTAAGAGATTTTAAGACTAAATGCATAAAGTAGTATTACTTAATAAATTATGAGTTGTTTTTAAGACTTTTAAGACCTTGTGCATAAATGTATAGTACTTTGTGCATTAAAATTTATTTTTAAGACTTTTGAAAATTCAGGTTTATAAGATAGTATAGATATAGATTTCTGTAAGGAAAGCTTAAAAGTCATTGGGAAAAGCTTAAAAGTCATCTTGGGGAAAACTTAAAAGTCATTTTGTGTTTTAGATTTCCTTAGGGAAAGCTTAAAAGACAAGTACTTTTGTGTTTTAAAAACAAGTACTATGTGTTTTAGATTTTGTATTTTTTTAGTACTTTAAGATATTTATCAAATTTGATTAATAAGATAGTATAGATAAGTTTCATTTTTTTTAAATATTGTACGAACCAAAAGATCCTTGAGTTTTTTTTTTTAAATATGTTAAAAGTTCTATTCAAGAAAAATAAACTGAAATTCGATATTGTTGTGTACCCGAATTACATATATAGTGTCGCTTAAGGGGCAAGAATTTAAGTACGAATAACATGAAAACTTTTTAGAAAATGAAACAATGCGAGTGCAAAAGTTAAGTTATATGTAGTTCTAGAGAGAGCGTGCAATAAAAGTATGTGATTTGATATTTTAATATTTTAAATCCGCTTTATAACGGTAAAATCAATAAAATCTTGTAGAGCAAAATCAATTTCGTTAATATTCTATAACGATCCGTTGTGGTTTAATTTAAGTAAGTAACTACATATTTGAAATAATTAGTAATCCTAGAACTTGTGATTCCAATATCATCAAACATGAACTTTTTTATGGGCATCTGGACATTCTTTTTGAAACTTTATTTCCTTACATCAATTTTATACCTTTATTGATGATTCTGTTACGAGGCTATTTCTCAGTTTTTCATTTTTTTTGGGTTTTTTCTTAAACCTCCCTAAATATACATACATATATATAGAGGTTCATTCAAGGAAGAAGTGAGAACTGACTAGTTTGTGGTAACCGTGAGATCCAATCTTAACCACAAATCACTAGATAAATTAGGAAATTTGTAATTTTGGTAATTTTTAATTAAAATTTTAATGCAAGGACATTTTAGGTATTTTTTTTCTCCTCCCTTCTCTCTCCGTCCCTGTCTTCCGGCCACCGTCCTCCGGTGATACCACAGTGTGATACTCAAGCACATATAAGATGCATTGTAATATCACTGTGTTACAGATTCAATCGATCACATAAACGACCTCAGTGTGATACTCAATCACATATAAGATGCATTGTGATACCACTGTGGTATCACCGGAGGACGGTGGCCGGGAGACGAAGAGAAAAGAGAAGAGAGGAGAGAAAATACACAAAATGTCCTTGCATTAAAATTTTAATTAAAAATTACCAAAATTATAAATTTCCTAATTTATCTATTAATTTGTAGTTGAGATTGGACCTCACGGTTACCACAAACTAATTATTTCTCATTTGATTAGGCCCCTATATATATGTATATATATATATATACACACACACACACACACACATATATATAGAGAGAGAGAGAGAGAGATTTGGGATCATGTGAGACCAGTTTGTTTTCATGAGACTCGTAAGACCATCTTTTTACACTTGAAATTTCAGAATGAAACACTGTGAAGGTAACCTTAAAGTGTTTCAGCTGTGAAGGTTCAGATTTTTTTTACCTTCACAATATTTTGCTATGAAGTTTCAAGTGTAAAAATGTGGTATGACGGGTCTTATGGAAACAGGTTGGTCTCACATGAACCCAACTCTATGTGTGTGTGTGTGTGTGTACACACATAGGGTCAGTTTCAGGGGAAAATGCAAAAAAAAATGAAAATTTGTGGAACACCTTATGACTGTTTTAAGCAGTGTGTACCACACACATACACATGCATATATAAAAAATCAAGAAACAACTTCAATTACTTGTACAATATACATACCATCTTATATAAATTTGTTATTAGGTACTTATCTGCATATGTGCATTCCGTCTTATATGAATAGTTAATAGGGTGTTTTTCAGTTTTTTTATTTTTTAGGGTCTCCCTCCCCTTCCCCCTTCTCTCTCTCTCTCCCTCTCTCCATCTCTCTAAGCTTAATCATTTGAGAGTTTATACTTTAAGGTTTTGTTCAACATGATTTTTTTTAATCTAAGTATAATATTTAATATATTAATTAATTAGTATTTATTTGTTTCATATGTATTTGATTTACATTATGAAATTCTTTTACATGTATTTTTTGTTTAATAAACATATGTGAAACAAATACATTGTAAAACAAATATATGTTAATTGATATTTTAATTCCTAGTCTTAGATGGAAAAAAATTCATATAAAATAACACATGATGCACTAATTCTCAAGGTTATCGTAATTTTATGGATTTTCAATCAATGTCCTATATATACCCAAGTTCAAAAGGTTAATTATGTAAATCTCTTGAAAGGTTTTTCTATCGGATTTAGAGGTTGTTTGGCAGTTGTCGAATGATTTGGTGCAGAATGATTAAGAGACTCTTATAATATAGTGGAAAATGAAATATAATTGTTTGGTAATTATTTAGAATGAAATTAGGGTGCTGAATAGTTAATGGATGCCTAAGATACAAAATCATTCAGATGATTTTAGATTACGAGATAGACTTTTTTTTGCCAAACAAGATTCAATTCTTAACAATTCAAAGACTGCATCTTAAAAGAAATATTAAAAAATAAACAAACAACTCTCAATCAAGGATGCTAGGGAGCAAGAATGGCATACCCTACCTTGATTGGCATCTTGATTGTGATGTCACATCATAAAGAGATACCAATTTAGAAAGAAAAATAAAATACCAAGAAATAATTTAGTGTGTTTATGGTGTCCGTTCCAGGAATTTCTTTGAACGGATGCATCTTTGAGATCATTTAAAGACCAACAAAGTTGTAGTTTAATCCGTGGAAAATTCAGCAAGGTTTGACCACAGGAAATTTAATTTTGTCAATTCAATAAAATACATTTTGCAAATGGAATCAACCTTATGTTTTTGAGCAAGACGCAAGATTGTCTTACGCTCGGCATGCTCTTGGCTGAATTCTACATTTACGAGGGACCTTTTATGGTTGATTTTGTAATGGACATCAGATGCAACCACAAATTATAAGTTCATAAATTTCTTACATAATACATGTTTAAAGACATCATATACAAAGGAATAATAACCGATTTTTCAAGTATTATAAACAATATGAAAAATAAAAACTCATACAAAGTATTAACTGTTAAATATGGTTAATTTTATTTCATTTTCAATTTATTTCAGATAAACTTGTTGTGTCACGCACTAGAACGAGACAAAACAAACTTAAGATTAATAAGTAACTGGAAAGAAAAAAATCCAAAAAAAGATGAGGAAAGAAATAAAAATAAGATTAAGATAATTGTAAATAAAAAATAACAGTAATTGATCCGGTTGAGTTATTGAGTTCAGTACTTTAAGTTACATATTTGTTTATTTAATTTTAGTAATTAGAATTTAAAACATAAAAAACTAGAATTTGTTGTCGATAAGAATCAAATCCATAACCTTTAGAAAAAGAAGGAACCCCATACCATTCCAACAACTTCACATTTCTATTTCAAGTATGGTTTTAAAAGCATATAAAAATACTCTTTAAAATTAAATGGGTGTACAGTAATGGTCGATAAAATAATTCCATTACAACCGTAATTTGAGGTGTTTGTGATTGCTTATAAAAACAACTTATTGATTTATTCCGGTGTGGTACCGGTAATAAGCACTTCTGAGTGTTTGGATAAACAACTTATACCGGTGTCAAACCGATAATAAGGAGTTTTTGAAGAAATTAAATTCTTCTGACTTATAATAAGTTGATAAATATTTTTATAGAAAAACATAAGTTGTTTCAAAGAAGCAATCTCAAACACCCTTCAAGATTCAACATAAAAAAGCAAAGAAAAAAAAGACTTTAAACAAAGAAAGTAACCAACCACTTAAAAGGGATAAAAGAATTTCTTGTAGGAAAAAGAAAAAGAGATTAAAGGGCCGTTTATCCAAATGTTTACTTGGTAAGCGCTTATTGATATGAATCAACACTATCATTTATTTTGATGCGTAAGAATTTAGTACATCAAAACATATCGAATACAACAATTTACTGGGTAAGTGCTTACATGGGTAAGAGTCACCATCCTCATTTTTCAGGTAGGAAATTTTTATTCCTTCTCATCGCTCTTACCTGGTAAGACTCATGACCCTTCTTATGTTCATCCGATGAGAAAATTTATCCGGTAAGCATTTACCAAGTAAGTATTTAGTAAACGGCCCTCCCTAACATGATTGATCACAAATTGGGCTCAATTGGGCCCGTCCCTGTGCCTGGGCTTGGATCTTGATGTAGATGCCTCGCAGTCCGGTTCGATCCGAGCCCTCTTTCTTTCCATAGCGTGCATGCATGTGGTTACCCTCTGCAGCAACAGGTTAGCCTTTCTCTTTCCTTCCTCAGAACCAAAACATTCCACATACATGAGATAATTTACGATTCTAAATCGTTGGGCCTCGTCCAGATACTTTGGATCTTCAACACTAAGTTGCAGCAAAATTGAAGCTGCATTCTCTTGGTTCTTTCGAGACCCTTCCAAGAGAAGTTGTATTAGGCGTTGAGTAGGGCTTTCTTTCAGTAAAACCAGTTTGACATCCCGGTGGCTCACCATCATGTCTAGAAGAGCCAGTGCGTCATCCTTCAGTGGGCTATATCCTTTTAACAAACGGGCAATTAGTACAGGAACCACACCAAACTTCACAGCTCTTGCTATGTTACATGGTATCAAGCACAAGCTAAACAATGCAGTTGCAGCATCCTTTTGCCCCCTTTCACTCCCTTCACGCAACAGGAATACAAGCGGTCGTATTCCCTCATGAGAACCGATAAGAAACCTGATCTCATCCGTCTCAGAGAGGCTGAAAAGGATAGTGGCTCCATCTTCGCATACTTTCATGGAACCCGAATTCATCGCATCAATTATCTTAGGGATCGCCCCAGCTTCTACTATGCGCCTTTTGTTTCGGGGGCAAATAGAGAGGTTAAGAAGAGCTGACATTGCATACCCTTGTGTCTCTGGATCTGTTGTTTGCAGTGCTTTTATAAGTGATGGGATCGCACCAGCCTCGCCTATGGCTTCACGGATCTGAGCATTTCTTTTTGTAAGTTGATAAATTTCACCAGCACCCTTGCGTTGGTGACCATTATGTTCGACACATTCGAGCTGCCGTATGTATATTCCTATGAACTTACGCTCGACAGGATTGCAGGAATAAGCAATGGTACTCACTCCTTTGGGTGCGTCCAATATCCTGTTTGTTTTACACCATTCGACTATAAGATCACGTAACGCATAGTTGGGTATCAGAGTTGTGTTGGTCAGGAACTGCCGTGTTGTTGGACAAGTGCCATTCCCTGCTTGGATCCATGTTTGAATCGACAATCGCTCGAAGGTCTACAAGAATAAGGAAGACTTCATATAAAAAATCTCAACAAATGACCTATGTGTGATCCAATTACGATGCAAATGAACTTCAAGTAGCACATCCATATTGTTTTATAAAAAGAATGCTGCTTTACCTGCCCCGTTGAGATGACGACAGGATCCTGCATCAACTGAAGTGATATTGGACACAGGAATTCATTGGGTATAACTTCGTTATCGTAATTGATTACGTTGGCAATTCCTTGTCTGACATAAACATAGCCATCACCTGAAGATGAATCTACACTTTGATTATTTGTGTGTAAGAAATCTTTGATATGCTTTAATACCATAAACATCTTTTCGATATTCTCCACACGATCTCCACCTCTGGCAATAACGATTTCACTCAGCGCAACTGATTCTTGTTCGAGTGCAGTGGCTTTGGTTAGTCCTAACGTTTCAACTACTCCGTTAAATACTTCAGGATCCAACACCCCATTACTGCCCTTGTGGTAAAGAAAGAGAAGATCTTCATACAGGTCGTCATCAGCAGATGTATCAAATTGTTTTCCTCTAGCTCGGTCGAATTGACGAAGAACAAGATCAGCCTGTATATGTATGCTCAAGAGTGTCAAAGCCATAACCAAGAAAACTGAGGTTGGAAGTTAGAACTTAGCCTGTGACTTTCTAAGGGTTATGGTGCCTGCTTTATTGCTTGTTATATGCTTTATTTACCTGTTCTTTGACCTCGTCTGATACGTCTAGTTTCTCGAAACAAATTCGTCTCAGATCTTCCTCTAGCTCAGCTACAACTGTCTCGTATTCCCTCATGATTTCTTCCCTCTCCAGTACCTTAAAACAACAAAAAAACGTAAATGTCTGAAGGAAGTATAAGAACAAGACATAAAGAAGTTCATTTCCTTCCATGAAAAGGTGAATGGTGAGCAGACTGGCCATTTTTAAGAGACTAAATCAGTTAGATGTCCCTGATTCACCATTGAAGGTAACTAAGTTGTGTATTTGGCAATCAAACATGAATACCCTTTTCATAGAATCAACAGTGGAACTTCTAAAGATTAATAAAAGTGATCATAGGTAGCTTTACACAATGATCATGGCGATAGTTTATAAGATCAAAAATTCACAAGTTCATTTGAGGATTTGAAGCTGTAATATTAGGACATCAATGCTCCGATCCACAAATATAACGAGTTTCTTTATTGCGATCACATCATTAATTAGAGCATGTTGAAAGAACATATATTCGTCGTCACATAAGGAACTTGCGGTTCAAACTATTTTTTCTTAAAAAACCTTCCCCACATATAGAATATGAAACTGTAAACCAAATTAGCAAAAGGTAGGATATGGTGGTTCCTTTTAACTCCAAATGAGTAGTATATATTCGTGTTTCACACACTTACAAAATGTTAAGAACCTAGAGATCAAGACACGCCAAATTAACCCCTTACCCTCATGTTTTATACTAATCAGCTGAATCAATTATTTTGTTGAGCTTTGTACTAAATAGAATTTCTATCATTATTCTTTCTGTTAAGTACTTGTATCTTGCAACAACAGAAAGAAATTGCATTGCTGCTACCCAAAAGCAAGCCTTGAAGACTTAAGAAGGGCACAATTGTTTTCATTCAAACAGTTACTGTAGCCATTAGCTTTTTTGAGTTACATATGATAAAGACTAAAACCTATAAGCTGAATCTATAAATATAATTATCCCAAGTGAAGGGAATCGTCGATTGCAAATTATCATATATCATATTCAAATATGGCACACTTGCTTACTTATGGCAAACTTACAGATCCGTCATCGGTATCTCATACTTAGAAATCTGAAAAGATTCAATAGCTAATGATATGAATTACATAAGGTATAGAAGACTATGCCCTAACTTGATTAATTTCTGAATAGGTAGTGCAAATCAAAGATTTAGTTGACACACAAACTGTTTCTAATCAAGCAATAAGTATAGCCAATTTACATCTTGAGTCTGCAAAACACAAATCCCAATCTTTTCTAGAGCCTAGTAAATAGAAAGAAACAGAAAGAAATTCTAGTAACATTATTTTATGTACAAAAAACCCGAAAACTACAAGATTGGAATTTGTAGAAATTAAAACCCTGGATCACATTGCAAGGGTGGTTCTTAAAATTCTATTCTTATTTTGTAGTTCGAGAAACAAGATCAACAATTGAAGTTTCATAGATTTATAGAAATACCTGCAAGACATGATGTAATTCAGACATCATATACAGTTCCAAACTGTGAAGCTTAATTAAACATATATAGCTCTAAATCTTGTTAGCATACATTGTAAGTTGTAGTGCAATGCAAAGGCACAAATTGTTTTCAAACAAGCAATCAGGAACCAACTCTTAGAATTACATAAGATATAGAAGATTAAAGTCTAACTACGAATTACTAAAAGTAAACGAAGTGAAGCATAAACCTCAAAATACAAAAGTCATAGACATAATTATCGTAGAAAGAAACTAGGACATACTAAATATTCCAAGTATATCACACTTCTTCCTTATCTACAGCAAACTTAGAGATCGATCAATCGACAATAATACTTATAAATATGCAAATAGTCGATAGTAAATGATGTCTCTTTACCTTCTCAAATATAACTAAAAGGCAATTTCACAATACTTGATTCCCTAATCCTATAAGTTATTAGTATTGATGCTACTTGTGAATTATGGTCGATAAGTTTCAAATAGTTATATATATATATATATATAGCAGATATATCTATGTAATTGCGGCTATATTATCAAAGCTTAGGTATGACCAAAAAAGGAGATAAGAAACGCCGATCCTAATCATTATAAAAGCCTAGTGAAAGGATATCAAAAACTCTCGGGAACTTTATCTATACGCAAAAGATCCACGATTCAAAGATCTAAATCCATAAATTACACTTCAAATGTTCTAAAGATCCAAAAGGGTTCTTGTTTAGAAACAAGATCAAGTTCATAAATTTATGTAGAACATCATAAATTTAAAACATCTGCAAAGTTCCAAATGATCAATTTTAAGCACCATAAAAACAAAAATCCCTATCTTCACTAAATGATTGTTCATATTCTTCAACTTTCTGAAAGAAAGCATAAAAATGGCAGTGATATTAGTTTATGCAAAAAAAACTCAACCAAAACAAAATTAGGATATGAATTCATTACAAAAAAAAAACTTAGATCAGATTAGAAGGGGTTTTAAGATCCTCTTTTTTGTTTAGAAAGAAAATGAACAAGAAAACTAGAAAACATATCTCAAACTTTGCAAAACCCTAGTTCAGATTTTCACAAAATTAACCCGGCCATGAGCCGCAGCAGCAAAAACTGGGAGTAACTTCATTTTATGCTCGGAAGCGACAACAAAAACAGAAGATCTGAATCAAGAAAAAACAAAACCCTAGATCACATTCCAAAAGTTCTTTAAAGGTTTTTGATCAGAAGTTTTCTGTGTTTTGAAAACAACGAAGAAGACAAGCCTAAATAGGCAATACAAATTACAAGGAAAGGAAACTCTTA